TTACCTGGTGCGTGAGAGATAAGAAGGGACCTCCTGAAGATCCACAAGGTCCGACAAGACCTGGCTTTCAGAGGCTATGAAGGACACAGCCCACCTTTCTGAGGCTACCTGAGCTGAAACCAAAGAATGATGCCAGGAACCATAAAGTGGAACTGATCTGAGGAAGGAGGAAGCAGGAAATATAGTGACTCAGGAAAACACAAAGCTGCCAAACGTTCCAGCTTAGCTGTGCCGACACCAACTGGTGACAGCGTCATATCTTTTTATTTTTCCCGAGTGTCACCTCTTGAATGGGGGTGCCCAGTCTGGGAACTTAACAAATGCTTAAATGCCTCCTAGTGTGTTCATATTAGCTCTTCCTTCTCATATTTTGCAATAGGGAACCCACCAGAGGATTTTAAGCTGGGGAGTGTCATGAACAGATTTGTATTTCAGGAAAAAAAATTTCTGATGGCCTGGCAAAAAAATAACTTCAAATCTTACCCCAAATGTTAGTCTTAAGTGCGTGCCATTCCTCCTCCAAAGCGGGATTCTCTCAGAATTGTCCTTCCCTCCTCACTTGATCTGTGCAATCAGTCCAGAGACTGACACGGCTTACTCCCTAGCCACCTGTCTTTAGATCCGATCCCTTCACAGTCCCTCTGACCTCAAGATCCCACTATCTCAGACCAAATACAAGGCCTAGTCACTTCTATCCTGATTGACTTTCCAGGGTCTTATCTGGGCTCTCTACCCCATGTCTTTGCCCCTGGCCACTGCTTCCCACAGCATTGCCAAGAGTCCCCCACAGCTGTTCCCACCCAGCCTTCATCAGAATCACCTGGGGAAACTTGGTTAAAGCTATCCCAATCCTCCTTAATCTGAATAGTTTAAAAGCTCCCCAGGCAATTCTGAGGCAGAGCCAGGTCTGCAAACGACTGCTCCATCTAAATCCTCATTATAGATAGTGAAGGGATCTTACAACCAGGAACAGGTTAGAAATGCAGAATGTCAGGTCGCACCCTTGATCTAGAGATCAGAATCTGCATTTGAACAAGGTCCCCAGGTGATTTTAAACTTGTCACAGTTGAGAAGCACAGTTCTAAAGTGTAGCCGACCGTTCATCCCACAATGATTGGGTCTGGGAAGTTGGGAGGGTCTAGGGTGAAGGTCCCTGACTTCAAGCTCATAGAAACATCTATCTTTCCCCAGCTTAAGACCCATTATTGGCTCCCATGCTTTCAGACAAAGTCCAAACTTCTGCACCTGGCCTTCAGCGCCTGCTGGTTTTTCATCCCTGTCAACTTTATTGTCTACCACTCACCATAAGGGCCCAGCTAGACAACTTGCCACTCCTCAGGGCTAGCTCTCACAGCCCAGGTCACACACTACCCACCTCTGCCTGGAGAAACTCAGGAAATATCCTTTGAGGTCCATTACATACATGTCACCCCCTTCTTGACATTATCCCAGATTTTCCCTGCTCAGCTGAAAGACAGGAATTCCCACAACTCTTTGCTCATACCTCCTTCGTGGCATTTATCTCATTCAGCTTAGTCTTAAAGTTAGCACACTCGCTATAGCTACCCCAGTAAAGAAGGAACCATGATTCTGTTTGTTTCTCCAGTAGCAATAAGCTAGTAACTGGCACATCAACATATCTCAAAGTAATAATAATGTGTTAAATGATCACCCACTTCAAAGTCATTTAAACACGAAATTAAGCAGAATACAAATGGGCTGCTTCTCTTAAGCCCCAAAAAGAAACATAATCTCTAAATCAGATAACATCGTGTGTTTTTCCATATACAAATAATAATCGAAGACTGAACATGCTGAAGATGAATTAATTATGTTTACAGCTAATTATCTTTCTGTAGTTGGGTATTTAACTTCACAAAATGCAATAAAATTTGGAAACACTTCAGATTTGTATTATAATCAATTAAGGAACTGGGAGAGGAAGGAGATGAAGAGAAAGCCAGAAGTAGACCAAAATTGGAAAGGGAGATGGATCCATACCAAATACCCAGCTGATGTAAATGTAAGAATATAATACTCTGGATTTATTTTTAAAAGGATTAAACACTGACTAGAATGCCTGTTTCGAGCCTACCCAAACTTTGAAAGTTCTGGTCTTTACATATATAATTTTATTTTTATCTGAGGAAAAACTAGGGTCTGGAGTCGAGATGCCAGAAGGGAGAGGAGGCGCCCACTTTCAAGGAGGACCACCCTCTCCCTGCAGTCTACGGGGAGGCAGTGGCTTGAGTTTCACATGCATGTTGCATTTCTGCAATTACAGTCTAGACTTGGCCTCGGCCGAGGCTTTGCATCCGGACACACGCTCTGCCGAACACAGATTGACTTGGGCGAACGGACCGTAAACTTCCCAGCTACCTTGGGCTCTCCAGATGACGCTGCTGCTCCAGCTGACCGAGCAGAGCCCCGACCTACCACACAGAATGAAGGGACCGACCACCCGGCGCATCTCCAGGGACATCCTAGCACCTGTGGGGGCGCAGGCTGTCCCCAGGTCCCGCAGAGCAGGGAGCGGATCCGGAGCAAGTCCATAGAGTAATACCGTCCAACCGGCCAGAGAAGGGGAAGGGGGTCCCCGTGCTCGCGCCTGGGACACGCTCTGGGACCACGCTGTCACTGACCTCTACTCCGGGGTGGTTCTAGGGTCGGGGGCTCTCGGAGTCCCAGGCAATGCCCCTGCGGGGCTCCCCGACCCACCCGCGCAGCGGGCCTGGGGCTTGGGCAGAGCCCACTGACCTGGGCGCGGGGCTCCTCTCCGGGAGGCTCAGGTGTGCGGGCCGCTCCCGTGTCCCTCCCACCTCCGACCATGAGAGCCGGGAGCCGAGCTGCAGGCCACTGACCCACCGACCAACTGACCGACCAACCAGCGGACCGACCGGCGGCGGCCGGGTCCGGAGCCCACGTGACGGGGGCGGGGACCCACGGGAGGCTCGTCCCGAGGCGCGCGCTCCCCCCGCCTCCCCCC